GAGTGACGCTGAGAGAAAAGACTTTGTAGATATTCGGGAGCAAGGTTGTTCATAATTTTATACATCATTAGGGCTTTTTGTTTCTCTCGTCGAAGAGATAGCCTCTCCCAATCGAGAGTGGAGAAAAGGTGGTTTAAGCTCGTATCAAAGGATAATTTAATAATAATTCTGGCCGCTCGATTCTGTAATTTTTGGAGCTTATCGCTCAAGTAGCCACTTAAACAGTCCCAGACGGGGCCGCAGTAATCAAAATGAGGCATAATCAGTGTTATATATTTGAATTGCAGTTTCTTTGGACATAAAGGGCCGTACACGTTTTAGGGCGCCTATAGCTGAAGAGACTTTCTTGCAAATGTCTTCAACGTGGCTACCCCAAGAGAGTTGGGCATCTATAGTAAGACGCAAAGATTTGGTCTTGTCGACTCTTTTGATAATTTGATCATCAATTCTGATTTCTAAGTCGTTACATTGGGCAGATAGTCTTTCTCTTGATACAATAATCATTAACTCTGTTTTAGCAACATTTAGACTGAGCTTGTTAGCTTTCAGCCAACGGCTAAGGTTATTCAATTCAGGGGTTAGAGCTAGCTCAAGCTCTGTTAATGTCTTAGCAGATATCGTAAGATTGGTATCATCGGCAAACGATTGATTCGTTCTGCGTACCACTAGCGAATCTCAGCCGATCGACCCGTGTTCCCCATTCGTACTCGGTTTCTCAGCCCGAGCGCAAATTGGCGCCTCACCTATGAGGACCGAGATCCCTCGGGTACCCTGCATCACGGTCAAGTTTTAGTTTCGACACACCGCAAAGAGAATTGATGTATTTTTATCACCTTAAGGAGAACTCCTTAGTTTTTAGTTGACGCCACCCTAGTCTTTATATACTTAGACTGCTGAATAGGTTGACTGAAACGTTTAGGTTCTTTAAAAGTGGCCTTTCTTGTGGCTAACTCAGACATGAGAAAATCTCAGGTGGAGAAGGTAACGTTACTCATCCCATTCTTAAAATAGTGTTTACATTGGAATTAGCTTGAAAGGTTTTCACGCTAATGTTTTTCGTGGAAGAAATTGTAACTTCAGAACGGCTCTTACGTGAGCTTCTTATGGCTGACCCAATTACACGGCAATCACATAATCTCGCTGAAGTTCTTCATTTCATTCCTGATACTATAAACCCTTTCAGGAAACGATTTTAGGAGAGCTGCTTGTATCTGATTTAAGTAGACGGTAATCATAAAACGTCACTGAGGTTCTCAATTCTTGATACTTATGAACGCTTTCTTTTTAATTAGAATATTTCAAACCACTATTATTGTAAACAATATTATCTCGGATGCATAGCCATTTTATTGTAGTCAGAAAGGGAGGTTTACTTTAAATAACTCTCATCTTGTGCAGTTCATAGACTCAATCTCATTGACAATGATAAACTTGTAGTTTATTCTGTGGGGTACTTAGTTTTAAACTTTCAATGAAACTTGAATATGATGCCTTAAACTGGAGAAAGACATTTTTTTTAATGTGAATCCATGTTTTTAATAACTTTTTTAACTGTAACAGGTTGAAACGCAGACATTACAGAATTCAGGTTTAATTACGATACGTTTCATATTAATTTCTATTATTCATGTTCTTTCTTTCTGTTTTGTCTTCTCTCTTTTCTGTTTCTGTTGTCCTTTCTTTTCCTTTTTTTTGGGTGGTCTCCATCCAATTCATTGCTTGTGAAATCTGGAAGTAAAGAAGATGTAGTTTCTTAAGCATGTCAAACGGGATGAAAAAATAATAACAAAAATTTTTATCATTATTATAATACCAATGATTTTTAAAATTATTTAGCTCAAAATGCAGCCTTTGCAAAAGTAGCTTTATGGTACATTATGGCAGGATTTTTTAATGTCAAGGGCTGGTTCATAGATTAGGCCTTCAGGAATTGCTCTGAATCACGGCAATTGGATTAGGCTGGCAATCCTTAAAAATTGACAGAAGAGAAGTTTCTCTACATACCTTCAACAGTTTTGGAGAGATCTACCAATTCTGGTATGCATTTTCGAGGTCTGCGTTTTTGAAGTTTGCGTTTTCGAGGTCTGCGTTTTCGAGATCTGCGTTTTCGAGGTCTCCGTATTCGAGGTCTGCGTTTTCGAAGTCTGCAGTCTGCAGTCTACGATCTGCGGTCTGCAGACTGCGGCCTGCGGTCTGCGGTATTCAGTCTGCGGTGTGCAGTTTGCGGTCTTCGGTCTGCGGTCTGCGGTCTCCTGTCTGCGTTTTCGATGTCTGTGTTTTCGTGATACCCGAGAGAGGATTGCTTTGTACGATTGTACTAACAATGATTTTATATTGTAATTGTGTAAACGTTAAAATTGGGATAGCGCTTGTGAAATATATATGCTCCTAAGTCAAGGGCTAAAGACCGGAAATTCCGTGAGCTCGTCTGATATCATCAATAACAAATTTAAAAGGAAGGTAGATAAATCCGGTAATTACATAATACTGTATACAGAAAGGAAAAATGATGGTGCACAAGTTGACGCAAAAGGCTCATGCATAACTCAACGGTGGAGGATCGTAAATGCGACATTTTCAATAAAAATTAAAGTCCAGTGTTTACGTGACAGTTTCGCTTTCGCACGACAAAAAGTTAAAAGAAACACGTTGGGCC